GGGGGGGTACCAAGGGCAACATACGTAACCTAAACATCTGTATCCCCATAATATGCTGAAATAAAAGAAAAAAAAACAAAACAAAAACTTGAACTGCAAATCCAACTACTTTGAGGGAGAAATATTCTGGCCCAATTTAACAAGTATTTTCTTTTAATTTTCTACTTCTCAATAGCTTGTGTCTCTGCTTGTGTCTTTTCTATGTATCTAATTTGCAAATGTCAAATAATTTAAAGTCAATTCTCCTCCCACTCATAAGATTTTTTCTGTTTTCTGTAAACTCTGTCCTGGTCAGATGAAAGAGTTCAAGGGGAGAGAGTTTATTTTTCTTTAGACAGGTGGTCCTATATTCATTGGTACTCTCTTCCAACTTAGTTTTTTCATTTCCATGACTATTTCTTCCTTGTCGCACCATATCTGCCCCCAGCTTCCCACTGCACCTCATGTTTATAATTTAAATTGTAAGTAGGAAATCAATCCGCTTTGCCAAGTGCCCAGTACATTTGGAAAGTGTTAATGATTATCTAGTGATCTTCTCAGGTGTTAAACTTACGGAGTTAATGTTACAGTTTCATGACACATGCTCTCCCTGAAGGAATTTCCCAAGTTATGTTTGCTTACCTCATATAAATGAACTTGTTCTTGGGTTACTGCAAAGATCAGTAACACGTTGTTTTGCACCAGTTTATCAATAAGTTGTCCAATTGTCGGATATTCCTAAAATTAACATATAGATTTTGTGTCATCTTAGTAAAAGAATGTAAAATAAAGAAAGGAATATTTATTTTTAAAGATACCTTACAGAGTTCAGCACTTTAGTGCTCACAGACATTATTATATTTCTCACTCTAAACAGTACACAATTGGCATTATTCACTTAGTTGGTTTAATAATTTTTTCCAAAATCTTCTAAGTCCAATAAAGTCCTAAGAATCAATTCCTGTCAAAGTGGTGTATTAGGCTCTGTCACTTCTCAGCTACTTACCAGCAGGCTGGGAATGGTAGAGTTGAGGGGGCAGGGGTGCAGTGAGACTAGGAGGTATGTGACTAAGGTGACCCTTGTAGCTCTGAAACTCTTACAGGAACTGGATGAGGTGGCATGAGGGTTGACAAAGGGACAGTCTGCCGAGGAATGACACAGTACGACATTCCTGTACCAGTTCTTGGGTTTGGTTTTATTGCCTTTTTAATGTCAACAATCCGTTGTATGGGATCCTGCAATATTTTTACAGGATAATTAAAAACATGTTGTATTTTTGTTCCACTGACATATTCATTCCCAAGTGACATGAGTAACTTAAAAAAAATAAAAGAAGTCATTAATTATCAAATTTGAAGATGGACTTTACTTTCCAAGTCTGGAAAACATGGAGCACATTTGCCTCTCATATGAATCCAAATGTGCCTAATGTACAAAGAGGAAACCCAAGTGAGGGAGTAGCCTACGAACAATTAAACTGTAATAAGAATATGCCGATCCTGACTGAGGTCAACCAAAACAGAGGAAGATTGAGAAACAAGCCCTCCTCTACACTTATGCGTATGTTCGCACAATCTCAGCACTATTGGAGTATTTTCATCTAAAGTCTTTAGGTATAAGTTTCGAGTTGAGAAAAAAGTGTAGCTTTGCCAAAAACACTCTGGCAAATTACCCAACTGCAAATGTGGCTGTGTGATATGTGCTTTCCATAACATTTGGATTTTTATTAGTAGAGACACCAGTCATATAAATCTTGAGTCTGACATGTTTGGTTTCCTCTGCTTTTCAACTACCCAACATCCTTCACCCTAAAGCCTAACCCCGCCCCCAGTGCCAGCCCCTTCTTATCTCACACGTTCCTACACCTTTCGACTGCTGTGCTTGTACCATCAGGATCATACCACATAGCCCCTTCATAGGTGGGCAAAGGTGGTTTTCTATTTGAATCAGATCAGTTGGTTTAATTCCCACAACTATATTGTAAGTTCAAGGGTAGGTATCACATCCTATTATTTTGTGGCCCCAGGAATCTGGACCAGTTTTGAGGATGTAAGAGGTGCTCAAAGGACCCAGGAGGCTATGTCACAGGCAGGCATGGAAATGGTCCGTGTCTTCTGTGCGTTTGTAGCAACTTATTTGGAAAGAATGAACTGGACATTTATTAGATGAAAAGGTCACATTAGGCAATAGTGTTAGCATCTAAGATCTTGCTACTTTCCAGATGTCTATTATGGGGCATTTGAAAAGTTGCAAGAAAAAGGAAATGAAAAAGGAATCCATTTCTCATGGTTTCTTGCCCTCATCAACTAAAAGACAATAAAAATGTGGCTATCCTCACTGATATTATAATACGAAGAGGCAGATTATGTGATTAAAGAATATATATGTTTAGGGAATACTATTGATCAAAAGTTACGGAAAAACATTCATGTTACATTAGTAATTTAGGTTAAGGAGTGGTAGTGAGTAATTTAGGAACTGTTAGGAGTTTTTAGAGAACAGTTGTCCAATTGATATTCGAATTCTAGGTTCTTCTCTCACACTGTCTCTGTTGTATATACTTCTTCTACAGCATTGTTGCCTTAAGGAAGCACTTAAATTCTCTGTACCATATTTTCTCAAGTGTTAAATGGGGATAATATGACCTTCCCAGGTTGATGCTTCATAAGTCAATTTTATTTCATACATTAGTCACCACCCTCTGTGTTCTAGGCACTGTGCTGTCAGGAAACAGATAATAAACCAGTTCTGGCCCTGAGGGTTGCACAATAGAGAAAGACAGACAGATGTAAGCAAACACATTTCCATATAGAGCTGTGCACAAAGATATCCGTATATAAGAGCAAAAGGAAAGATGATTGCTTCAGAGCCTAGTGAGGTCAAAGAGGGCTCTCTGCGGGCAGTGGTGGTTGAGCTGGCTTTTAAAGGATAATTAAGCAGCCTAGGAGAGAAGGGCATTTCACGAAGAGGGGATAACAAACATGTGCACAAGCATGGCAGCCTCATGGTCTGTTCAGGGAAAATGGTTAGATACATAGGGTTCTGTTGAGGATAGGAGGAGATCATGTACGTCAAAAGAGCTCTGAAAATTTTACCTGGTTTTACAAACGTTGTGTTGTGTTTTTGTTGAATGTCACCAGCATTTTTTAAGTGGCAGAAAATAAGCCAAAGGTTAATAAACACCAACCAAGTCATACCTGACTAGTTTTTTTCCATGGAGCCCCATGATCCGTGAAAGCATGGCATGACTTAGGGACCGTCACTCACGGCGACCCCTACTGGCCACTGCTCTGGTCTGGGCCCCCTTTCTGGGGCTGTGGTAAAGAACAGAATGAGCTGCCTGTGCTGCTTCACCAGCCCCAGGCTCTTTGATCATGTGTGTCATAGCAGATTCAAACTTCCCATGTGTGTTCACCACCCACCTATGCTCCTGCGGGAACCTCTCATGATGGTGAGAATTGACAGGGGGCAAATTGTTAATTTCAATTCAGAAAATGTGACCCACAATTGTTGCTTCATTTGCTTACTTATACCCCTGAAAACAGTAGAGAGTGCAGGTTACACACCAAGACTGTTGACATGGAGTATTCATTCTTGCTGTCCAAGTGACAGAGCCCATCATTAGGAATGACGATGCCTGCCAGTTTGCTGTCCATTCCAAAATGAGAATCAGCATCACTCACAAAGACCAGGAGGTGGAGGGAGTCGTTCCGCCAGCCAATTTTTTCCTACAGTGAGAAAGAAATATTTGTGTCGTATTGGAGAGAGGCACGGATATACTGAGTGTGGATCAATTATGCTTGGACATATTCAGATTATAAAAAATATATTTCTGGTCTATTTTAGCCTTTTTCATCTACTGTGAGTTGATAATATTAATATTTTAAAAGCATGAGATTCTGTGACATTTGCTTTTTTCTGGATAACATTTTCAGATGCTTTAGGCTTCAGAGAAAATAGCCCCACTACAATCAGTATTCAGTTGATCTTGACTTTTACATAGTTAATTATTTTTCCTGTCCAGCTTTCAATTGAAACCAGAAAAATGAGGAGAAAAGGAAGAGAAGGTCATAGATAATCCCAAATCCAAACCGAAGTGAAACTAGTCAAAATGCAATACAAAATGGACTCAAAGTAAGCTTGTTTCATTAAAATGTCACCCAACATTTAGGCACATGTTTCTCTTTCTAATGATATCATCCAAAAATTATAAACTTAATACAAAGATGAGATTTGCTGATCAAAGTATGGCCCCAATGTCCTGCTAATTAAGATTGTCTGTTGCCTGTGTCTAGCAGAGCGCTCCCCTTTAATTACTACTAATCCAGGAACTGAGTGAGTGAAAACTCATCCTGGCTTCTCTATCCCACCTTATCCCTTTCCTTCCTCCTCTAATTCCTTGGCTTGCCCACCTTCTAGGAGCCTCAGTACTCTCCATTTCCTGATATTTTCCATGAAGGGCTGTTGCCTAAAGACAGGGCAGTCTTGTCAGATAGTCAAGGAGGAGCAGTGTTCCTACAATGTCGCAGAGTCAGTGTAACTTCTTCTTTTTTTTTTAGAGAAGCCTGGTTCATACATTGGTTCATACATTAATTAATATTTACTAAATAAATAAATCCAAACAAGAAAGGAAAAGGGAGGCATCACTGAAGTTTTGCAAAAGCAAGGAAGGCTTCACGGGGAAGAAAAAAAAAAAAATTTTTTTTTTTTTTTAGTTTTTTTTTTATTTCAGCATATTATGGGGGTACAGATGTTTGGGTTACGTATGTTGCCCTTCCCCCCTTCCCCCTGCAAGTCCGAGCTTCAAGCGTGTCCATCCCCCGGATGGTGAGCATCGCACTCTTTGTGTATGCATATACCCGTTGAGCGTAACTTCTGATGCTTATTTTGTTGGTTCAAAGCAATAGACATGTAATCATATGTATAGGTATATACTGATTCAGGGCATTTTTAGTTTTTTCATTAATGTTCTGCCTTTAATTTTTTTTCCACCATGGTTAATCCAAAAACTAATGAATCTGATCTTGATCTTTGAAAATAAATCATACATATTGTTTCAACTAAATTTTCCCAATATAACAATAATTTTCTTATGATTATTCAAATAGGCATAAAAAGCAGTCCCTATTTCAACAAGATTTAATTAAAAATTTTGCAAAAGTGTTGTGCTTTAAGAAAAGTACCAAAGGTAGAAATACAGCATAAAGGAAATAAAATTAGCTAAGCTTTTCCAAGTAGATTTGTTAATAAGAGATGAAATTGTTTATGTTAGCAGAGTGAAGCACTACTCCCCTTAGCATACCTTACACACAGCAGCTTGCATAATTGCATCAAATCCACCTTCAGGTGTGTCAATATTAGCAGAAATTTTCTGATTCTTCACAATTTCATTGAATTTTTCAGCATCATTCGTCAATGGCAAAATATGCTTGAATCCAAATGTAGGCAAGCAGAAGTAGGGAATACTACTGCAAAGGTAAGATGTAAAAATATTCTTGATGAAATATGACACAACGCACAATTAATAGATCTGATAGCCTAGCAACATTTCCTTAAATGAAGATTAATTTTTCTAAAGCTCCTGATTCTGTAACTTGGCTGTGATTCTCACTGTTAAGGTTGCTGTCGTCATCTCCTACCCACCTCTTCCATGTTGACCGTTATCAGCTAACACTTATTTAAAGCTTATTGTGTGTCTTGCACTTGCTCAAACTCAGATAACAGATAAGCAAATGATCAGACTTCCAACTCCAGTGTTTGTGTGTGTATGTGTGTGTGTGTGCATAATCACAACCTTCTATTGCCTTCTAACCCAAATCCACCATTAAGTTCACATGACGACAATTCCTTTGCATTCTGTTAGCTCAAGCTGTCATCAAGTATGAGTCACCCTGTAGCAAGACAAGAGAGGAACTAGCCTTCTTACTCCTCTGCTTCTTCCTATACTCCCAGCATTACCTGCCAAGAGCCCAACAATCACAGCAGGGCTCTTGGTTCTAAAGTCCAACTCTACTGTGATTGAATACACTGTTATGGGCCAGCCTGGGAATAAAACTAGCACTTAAAATGCCATGTTAGCATGAAATCTGCACCAAAGGTATTACGGTAGAACAGAAAGAGCTGATCATGAATTCAGTCACATCTTATTTTGAAAGCTAGTTACTAGCTGCACATGAAACTTTGGGCACAGAAGTTATTCCACACCTCTGAGCTTTGGGTTTTTAAAATGGGGATAATAGTATACAGCAGAGGTTCTCAAAGTGAGGTCCCTGTACTAGCAGCATGAGTGTCACCTGGGAAATTGCTGGAAATGCAAAATGTAGAGCATGACTGAGTTAGAGACGCTGGGCATGGGCTCAGCAATCCGTGTCGTGCCAAGCCTCTGGGTGCATGCTAAAGTCAGAGCCATTGGTCTAGAAGTACAAAGACACAAAAAGGAGCAGCCCCAGTGAGGGTGTGGTGTGCTGCCCGAGGAAGAGCTGGTGGACTCTTGCGTGAGCACACGCCGGGCCTGGGCCTCGGCTCTGCGGGTCCAGCAGCCTATCTGGTCAGCACGTGAAGTGCATCATCTGCCAGGGCCAGCTCCAGTTCGTCAAGTTCATCTGCCTGAGGTATACCGTCAATCCTCATTATTCACAGATTCTGTGTTTGTGAATTCACCTACTTGCTAAAATTTATTTGTACCCCCCAAATCAATACCTGCAATGTTTTCTCAGTCATTCGCGGACATGCACAGAGGCAAAAAAAAAAAAAAAGCGAGTCTCCCTATGTGCACGTTCCCGGCCGAGGTCAAACAAGGGGATGCTCTGCCTTCTTATTTCAGCTCTCATGCTGTAAGCGTGTGTCCTTTTCATGACCTGTTTAGTGCCGCATTTTTTTCATTTTTGTGCCTTTCATTGATAATTTCACTGTTTATGATGCCCCCCAAGCATAATGCTAAAATGCTATTTAGTGTTCTAAGTGCAAGAAGGCCGTGATGTGTCTTATGGAGAAAACACGTGTGTGGGATAAGCCGCATTCAGGCATGAGCGATGGTGCACTGTGTGACTGACACGACTACCGCGAATAACGAGAATCGACTGTGTACACAAATCAGAACGATTGTGGGTTTTTTACACAGAGTAATGAAGCTCTCACGGGGACCAGAACCCTGGTGTCTGTGAGGACAAGCATTTTCTACCTGTCACTAGACTTCGTAGAAAGCAGATCAGAATTTGATGTGTCCCCAGGCTTCAGAACAAGGGGAGGTAGAGGCCCTAGCATGGAATGGCACAGCCCAAGGTACCCCAAGATAGCCACTCCATAAAATAAGACTGTAACGATATATACCAAAAGGTTAACATCATCTTTTTCTAAGTGGGGTTGGAAATGATTTCCATTTTCTTCCTTTTGTTTGTATTTTCACATGGGTTCCTTACCACTGCAATCAGAAACTATGTACCATATACTCATAATGATTATCTGTGTGTACATATAGGAAATCCATTTAGGCATTTCATGGTTTAGTTCCTTCTTTGGCAAAACTACAATAAATTCCTTACTTTCGGAAGCAAATTCAAAATAAAGCAAAACACCATGGCGTATATGAAATGATGTCAAAAAATCCTTCAAAATGTGTGATAGACAAGCGGTCCCTTTATGAGGGCCCTTAAGAGGATCATCCCTTGGGTCTCACTACCAGGAAAAGCTGTGCTTTCATCTCAAGGGCATTATGAATCTAGTGAGTGATCCTCTTTACCTCTTTGCTCTTGTTGCTAGGAGGCTCATAGTAAAAAAAAAACAAAAAAAAAACAAAATGTGTGATAGAGAAATAAATTTTAACTTTTGTGCTATTAACTATTTTAAAATGTACCTTAAACTCATTTATACATATGACAATGAAGAAAACATGTTTTTGTTACTGTATTTTAGACAGCAGCAAAGGAAACTCTTTCAAAACTGTAAACTGCTTCAGCATTCTTGCAGGGCGAAATAAATTTTTATTGACTCTCCATCCAATGAAAATAGAGAAAGCTACTCCAAAAAGCAGTAGAGATTAGATGAAAAGAGTGGTCTGTCCTTCCTTCCTTCCTTCCTTCTTTCTTTTTTTAAGAGATGAAATCTTAATATGTTGCCCAGGCTGGACTCAAACTCCTGGACAATCCTCCCACTTCAGCCTGGGCCTTACATGTATGCGCCACCATGCCTGCCAAATGGATGGATTTTAAAGTGTGGTATCAGACCCGTGGGGGTCTCTGAGTTCTTTCTGGACGTCCTTAAGTTCAAACTATTTTCACAGTAATTCAAAAACGTCATTTGCATTTTTCACTGTGTTGGCACTTGCAACGATGATACAAAAGCAGTAGTGAATAAAACTGCTCTGGTGTCTCAGCACGTAGCAAAGCTGTGGCACCAAACTGTATTAGCTAGCAGTCCTTGTATTTCTTTACCAGCAAGCATTTACCATAATAATAAAAATAAATGCTAGTTTCCCTTGATTGCCCTTGAGGAAGCAGTAAAAGTTATTAATTTTATTAAGTATGCATTTTTGAATACATGGGCTTTTTTTTTAATACATGGGAAATATGCATAAGGCATTTCTGCTGCACAGTGAAGTACATTTATAGAGGAAAAATACTTGTGCGATTGTTTGAGCTGAACTGGCCCTTTTTTACAAAACACCATTTTTATGTGAAAGAATGATTGACATCCAAACTATTATTCCAACATAAGTGTTTGGTAAACATGTTTTTTAAAATGAACAAAGTGAGACTGTCACTTCAAAGAAAACAACTGCCAGAATTTGTTGCCAATGACAAAATTCGAGGTAAGTTACAATTTGGGAAAATTTTTATCTGCTACCTGTGAGATTAACAATACTCCCAATACTTCCAAATACTTCAAGATTTATCTGATGGGAATGGTGGTGATATTAACAAGTGTGATTTTTTGATATCGTATCATGAAATCTGGAAGACCTACATAATTCAGTAAACCAATATTTTTCAAAGGATCAAAGCATCATATTTACAAAATCACACGTTGGTAAAAATGCCATTCAAAGTGCAAGACAGACCAATGGGTTTTAATGTAACAGAATATGAAATATTCATTGATATTCTTTCAGATTCCACATTGAAACTAACTTTTCCCTGTCATCTAGTTTGAATGCAATATCAGAGAAGAATGTCCACAGTCACTGGAAAAAGCTATTAAATGCTTCTTCCTCTTCCAACTATATTTCTATATGAGGTTTGACTTTTTTTGTGGAACTCAACCAAAAAAAATTGCAACAGATTAAACATATCTGAAAAAGCAGATATGAGAATACAGTTGTCTTCTATTAAACCAGATATTTAAGAGATTGGTAAAAGTGTAAAA